GCTCAGAAAGAAGGAAAGGGCTTGCCTCAAGTCTCTCCCCACTTAGCATAGGGTTGCACAAGAAGATAAGCTCTCAATTGACACTAATTTAATGGAATTGAAGCAGGAATTTAAATTATATAGCAGAAAATATTTGGCTCGGGCATTAGGAAGGACTTCTAGACCCCAACAAATCAAACTTGACTTCTTTGGAGACTGTTCAATCTAATTCAATCCAGCAGATGATTTCTAGGCATCTACCCATATTCTTTGGCACTAGAGATGTAAAGATTTTTTAAAATGCCCTGATCCAGGACACATGATATTGGTGCAGATAACTGTGAAATAAAATGGAATGATATGGTGCTTAAGAGAGATACAAAGTGCTGAGTGAGGTTTGAGGAAAGACAAATCATTTCTAGTTCCTTCCTAGAAGAAGGAAGCTGTTCTTCCAAGAGGCAGGGGAATGATGACCTTTGGAGACCCCTGCCTGCTCTCTTCTTCTTAGTAATAGACATGACCTTTTCTTTTTTTCCTTGAGGTAATCAGGATTAAGTGACTTGCCCAGGGTCACAAAGCTAGTAAGTGTCTGAGACCAGATTTAAATTCAGGTCCTCCTAACTCCAGGACTGTTACCACTAGCTGCCCCGACACGCCCTTTTTTCGTAGCAGACCAAACTTTTTTAGTCCACAGTGTCCTGATGGAGGAAAGCTCTATCCTGTAGTAGAGTGGGAGAAACAAGTAATGTTTCCTGTACATTCAGATCTCAGGTATAAAAACCAGAGTTCTGAAGTGAATTTTTTATGGTTCCTGGATTTAGAAGCGAAGAAAAGGCAAACATTGACCTGAGGCAACTAAAGGCTTCATTCATTCAATGGATGTTTGTTAATAAAAGTTGTTGAATGGATGGATGGATGAACAAATGAATAGATGTAAGTAAGGGTGTGTTGGTAAATGTTTAAGTCAACTTTCCAAAAAATGTATGGATGGCACATTTTAAAGTTTAATCTATATTATTAACATTTTCTTTGTTGCTTTCTTAAGTCTATACAATCAACAAAACAATAAATCAAGCCCTGATCTGTAGAGCTTGTCAATTTCCTAAGAGTAAATGCTCACAGTGTATGCTTAACACTTGTATCTCATGAGCCCATTCAAGCTGGCTATAGTACATCCCTGGATGGATGGATGGATGGATGGATGGATGGATGGATGGATGGATGGATGGATGAAAGAAGAGAAGCTCTGCTTATGTGGCAGGAAAGTGTCATAATGGATAAGATGCTAAGCTTGGGGTCAGGAAGACCTGAGTCCCAGTTCTGCCTGAGACACTAGCTGTGTAACCCTAGCCAAGTCACCTTAACTTCTTAGCCTCATTTTCCACATTGGTAAAATGGGGATTTTACAAACTACCTCGTAAGGCTGTTATGAGGATCAAATGAGCTAATATAAGTAAAGTGCTTCGCAAACCTTACGGAGCTGTATAATTGTTAGCTATTGTGATGATAATGATTATCTGTGCAGCCAGGGATATCAAGTAATGGACATCTCTAAAACTCTGGCTGCATCCCTGGGCCATCAGGTGGCTATTGCTTAGCAATAGGCGATCTCCAGGCAGGGGGAGTGGGGAACAGATGGGATTCCATGTGGAACCACTTCAATGGCAATAAACTGGGCAGTGTATAGTCATAGTATCTAGGGCTGAAAGAGATCTTAGAAAGTATCTAGTTCAACCTTCTAGGTTTTACAAATAAGGAAACAGATCCTGGAGAGGAAGGGACTTGTCGAATTTCACAGAAGAAATAAATAGCAGAACTGAGACTCACATCCGGGGCCTCTAACTTCAAATCTAATGTTCTTCCCATTATACCACACTACTTTCAACATTTAGCTAGCACAAGTCACATCTCACCTAGAAGACAGCTAGGAGACCTGAATTCAGATTCAACCTCAGACACATACTAGCTGTGTGACCCTGTGCAAGTCACTTAACTACTTCTGCCTCAGTTTACTCAACTATAAAATGGAGATCATAATAGCACCTAACTCACAGGGTTGTGATGTGGATTAAATGAGATAAGATTTATAAAGTGCTCATCATAGTGCTTGGTACCATTTCCTTCCTTCCTCAGGAAGATGCCCTTAACCTGAATAGCCCTTAAGGATCCCTCCCTTCTCTTACCTCTTATAGCACCAAATGATGATTATATTTATGATTTTTGTCCCCAGATTGCAGGATTGTAGATTTAGAGTTAGAAGTGACCTAAAAGTTCATCTAGTCCAAAATCCTCATTCTACAGATGAGGAAACTGAGGCTCAAAGAAGGGAAATGACTCGTCACAAAGGGAGTAATTAGCAGAGCCAGAATTTAAACTCAAGTCTTTTGGCTCCTAATCCAGATTTCTTTCTTTACTTTTTTTAAAACTATATCACATTTTTGCTGTCTTTTGAGGAAAGAGTAGTGAGCTGTGAATCAGGAGACCTGGGTTCTAGTTTGGACTCTGCCACCAAATCATGTGAGATCTTGATCACAGGAAAAGGTCAAACTCTCTGATCAATATCAAGACCTTCCAGGTCTGATATTCTAGGGCTCGGAAATGGTGTGCTCAGAGAGTCACCGACAGCCCCAGAACTGACTCCAATACTACTTTTTTCCCTTTGGGGACCTGTGCATAGTTGCAGTAATGTAGTAAGGAAATTGGGACCCTCTGGTGAGGGGAGCCCCTCTTGGGTGGTATGAGGACTCAGTGTGACTCCCAATTCCTATCCCCCTGCAGGAGTTCCTGGTATCTGAGGATGGGATGGAGGTAACAGGGTACACAAGTCTCTCAAAGGATAGAGTGCCAAGATTTTAGGACTGTCCAGAGTCTTAGAAGAAGCCAACTGAAAGAGACCTTAATGATTCCTTTTGAGATAGGAATACAGGCTGGTGGAGAGAATGACAAATGGGGCAGAGAAAGGGCTGGTGGAGAGACAGGTGGAGACATAGGCTTGATTCAATTATCTATATATAGACACACAGATCTATATATGCAGCCCTAATCACTTTCCTGAACTACAGGCCAGCATTGCCAACTGCCTGATGGACAATTCTGTCTGGACATCCCATCAGAATTTCAAATGCAATATATCCAAAACCAGAACTAATGATCTTCCTCCCTAAACCAACCCTTCCTCCAAAAATTACTATTTCTGGAGAGGGCACCACCATCCTTCCAATCATTTAGGTTGGAAAGCTCTGCGTCACTCTTAACTCTTCCCTCTCCCTTTCCCCAAAATAGTCAATCAGTTGCCAAGACCCGTTGATTCTGCCTTCACCACATTAATTGAATCTGTCTTCTTGCCGCTTGCATGATCACTACCCTAATTCAGGCACCTATGGGCCCTTGTCTAGACTATTGTAGTATCTTCCTAATGGTTTCCCTGCCTCCAAGCTCTTCCCTCCAATCTGTCCTCCAGTTATACAGTCAATAAGCATTTACTAATCACCTACTAAGTGCCAGGCACTGAGCTAAGTGCTAGGGATACAAAAAAAATGCAAAATATAATATAGTCCCTGCCCTCAAGAAGTTTACAGTCTAATGGACTAGCTCCATACAGTCAAAATAATCTTCCTAAAGCGTGTTGGATCTTCATACTCTCCTCAAAACTTTCAGTGGCTCCCCGTTGCATTGAGGCTAAAATACAAAGTGCTCAGCTTGACATTTAAGGCCCTCCTTGACCTGGCTGCCATTTAGATCTCCAGCCACATTTCATTCTATTCCCCTTCACCAATGCCCAACTCCACACCTCCTAACAGGCTTTCTCCAGTGCCTCCCTCCTCAACTCTGCCTCTCAGAGTCCTTCACTTTCTTCAAGACTTGGCTCACCTGTCACCTCCTAGAAACCTTTCTGGATTCCCCTGGTTAACGCTTTGTTTTCCCTCCTCAGCTTATCTTATATTTACTTATATGTGTGCATCATGTATATCCGCCCCTAGTAGAATTGATGCTCGCAGGTCCTGTGTTTCATTTTTGTCCGGGATCCCCAGCACCTAGCAGAGTACTTTAATGACTTGTGCGTAGCAGAGAGTTGGTAAGTATTTGTAGAATTGAATTGAAGCTGATGGACAGAGGAAGATGACAGAGAGACTGAGGCTGATGAAGAGAAAGGCCAAGGTGGAGACAGAGACCATCAGAGGCTGATAGAAGGAGAACAATAGGCCGAGACCAATGGGGAGGCAGATGCAGCGATGGAACAGCAACAGGCAGACAGACAGTAATAGACAGACAGACAAAAGGTGAAGAAGAGAGGCAGAAACAAAGACTGATAGGGAGGCAAAATCTAATGAGAGAGACAGCAAGGACTAATAAAAATGCAGAAAGAAACAGATTCTGAGACAGACAACTAACTGGGTGTAGTTCTTGGGGATAGCAGGTGTAAGCAACAAAAGTTCCAAGAATGCAGTGGATAGAGCACTGGCCCTGAAGTCAGGAGGACCTGAGTTCAAATCCAGCCTCAAACCCAACACTTGACACTTACTAGCTGTGTGACCCTGGGCAAGTCACTTAACCACAATTGCCCCCCCCAAAAAAAGTTCCAAGAAGCTGTTGGTGAACCAGAAAAACTTTTTATTAATAGCCTAGCAAGGCCGGGTGTCCCATGTGTGGGCATACCTTACAGAAGGGAGAGCAAAGCTTTTTATTCCTAGGCCCGAATCACAGTTCCTTCCCCTGTTTCCCCATTGGCTGGGTAATGCAGGGTTTACAGCCTATCTGGAGTGCCTAATTTCCCCACGGTGAGTCTCTGCCCCTAATTACATCTCCCATTCCCCACATTTCCTTGTCAACTGCCTACAGCTGTCAATACCCCAGCAGCTACTCATTACCCTGATGAATGATGTGCAGAAGCAACATTCCCAACCACATTTCCTACACAGGCCTCTGTCTTCTTACCACCCACCCTTAGGCAGACTCAAACCTAGGATCATGGGATTTAGAGCTCAAAAGACCCTTCTGAACCTTGTTCTCTCCTCTTCCAGTCTTACCTATGGAGGTGTGTGCCTCGCATCTGATGCTCAGTTCAGTGACTTCCTGGGCAGCATGGGGCCTGCACAATTTGTGGGACGTCAGACTTTAGCCACCACATCCATGGGTGAGTGACCTTCAGACCCCAAGGAGATCCATGGGGAGCCCACCCAGGAAGTAAGAGAATCCCCTGACTAATTTGCCAGACTAGGCTGGCCAGTCCTCTGAGCTCCCTTGTCCATCCCTGAGTCCGAATCCATTGAGCAGCTCCTGTGACCTGAAACTGGATTCCTTAGCCCCCTCAACCTTCACTCAATACCACTGGGAGCAGTTGCCTTGTCTTTCCCAAAGTACTCCCACTAGAAGTTCTGAACTAAGGTAAAGTACGGACCTGCCTTACCCTCTGCAGACCCTTGGTCTAGGTCTAAGACAGTGATGGCATTGTCCTCAGGGACACCTACCTGAACAGTGAGGCCTGTCCTTGGCCAAGGGAGCTCCTAAATCTTTTTTCTCTGCTTTGGGGACCTGGTAGGAGATGTGGAGATCGGGTTGCAGGAGAGGAATGGACAGCTTGAAGTGGACATCATCCAAGCCCGAGGTCTAACAGCCAAACCAGGCTCCAAGACCTTGCCAGGTAACCCCGGAGTTCATGAGAACTACTGAACCTCTCACTTGGGACCCACTAGGACTTGGTGTAGGCCCTGACCAATCCATCCTCACCTTTTTAGATTCTAACCACCACTCAGTCAAGACACTAGGTCCTTATCATCTCCCTGGCATGTTAGTGTGACATCCCCAGCCCAAACTGTAGGCCTGACCTTGACCACAACTCCGCCTTAACCGTATTTCTAGTTCTTGTATCTAAGCTTGACCCAAGTGTTTACTATACCCTTCTAACTCAGCCTAACTAGCCCAGACCATACCTCCTAATTTCTACTATAACGCCAGTCGTTTCCTATCCCCAATCATGCCTCTAGCCTTTAGGAAACTCTCATACATCAATCCTAGACCTGCCTTTAACACCTGACCGTGGCCACACCCCCAGCCTCCACTAGGCTCTTGGCCCCAGCCATGGCATCAACCTGATCATGAACTTAGCCATTACTAATTCCACTGTCCTAGTTAATACCCCTAGTCCTGACTACATCTTTCCCACGTTGATCACGTGCCTGAAGAACAGCTCCTGATGGTAGCATTCTGTACCATAATTAGGGCCTTAAACTTTAATAGTCTTCAACCCTGTGGATTAGCCTAGACCCCAGCACCACCCCAGGACACCTCTCAACGCTGACCATATCTTAACCTTGACCTCATCAGCCCTGACCTCAACCACACCCAGTGCAGACCATAAAGGAAGGGAGCTGCCATATAAATGGGAAAAATGCTTGACCTGGAGATAGAAAACTTGAGTTTGACTCTCAACTCTGTTACTGCTCCAGTGACCTTGGTTAATTAACCCCTCTGGGCCTTAGTTTTCTCATGAGAAGGTTGGACTACATGACCTTCAAGTCCTTTCCAATCCTCCAACCTACAAATCACACCTAAAACTTGACCTCTGTTCCAATCCTGGACATATTTCTACTTTGATCATGCCCTTCCCCAAGTGATCAGGCCCCCTGACCTGACCATTTTACTCTCTTTTTTAAAAAATTGTTTTTTCAATTAACAAGTATTTTTTCTTCCTCAACTCTCCCATTAAATAAAAAAGAAAAAGAAAACAAAAGAAAACAAAACTCGTGTAAAAAGTATAGTTGAGAAAAAAAATTCCTTCATTGGTCTTCTCCAAAAAATCTGACCACTTCTTAAATGTCCTCCACATTTGGAGCCCCTAACCCTCCACCACTCTAGACTCTGAGAACCAAATGGGAGGAAGGCAGAGCCTAGAAATGTCCTGAGAAAGGTAGGAGAGGAGGATAGGAAGGCCTGGTCGCTACTTGGACACAGGGCTGTCCCAAACAAAAGCCAAAGCTGCTCATCAGCATCTTCCTCCAAGGGACGATCCCATCAAGGTGCCCCCTCTCTCCCAGCTCATTCCTCCCATTTTCCTCAGCATCAGCTAAACTGTACTTTGAATATACTTGGCTGGTGAGAGCAAGGTTTGATGGGAAACCCTAGGAATAGAGAAGAAGATTAGTGGAGAGAATGATGAGGAAGCATACAGGATGACTGGCTCTCTTACCCTGCCCAGATGTGAGGCTACCCAAGGCCATTTTCTCTGTCATCTTACCACCCACCCTTAGGCAGACTCACACCTAGGATCAGGGGATTTAGAGCTCAAAAGTACCTTAGGACATAGTATGTTAGAGCTACAAAAGACCTTAGAAACTAATTTGTCAATACTCCTCCCCACCCCCATTTTTATATAGGAGAAAACTGAGGCCAGGGAGTGTAAAAAGACTTTTGCAAGGTTGTATGAATAATATGGAGGGAGCTGCGCCCTTATCCTCCCTTAGAACCCATCCCTGGTGAACACCTCCTCAATCCAGACAGCGCCAAGACGTACAATGAGGCCTTGGCAGCCTACTCTGTCAGGGCCTTTCCCCAGCCAGTGAGAGCCAGGAAGCAACCCAATAAGACACTTCTGCCCTCCTGCTCTTTTCCAGCGGCCTACATCAAGGCCTACCTGCTGGAAAATGGTGTGTGCATTGCCAAGAAGAAGACCAAAGTAGCTCGGAAGTCTCTGGATCCCCTGTACAACCAGGTGCTCCTGTTCCCCGAGAGTCCTCAGGGCAAAGTATTGCAGGTGAGAATGGCTCAAGGCTGGGGGCTCAGCTTTTGTAGGATAATGACCTGCTCTTGGGTTAGCGGAAGGGTGGAGAATCTGGACTTGGGGGACATTAAGTCATGGCCTTTGGGGAAAGGGCATCTGGCCTATGGAAGAACTGAGGACCTGAATTTTGGGGGGAGATGAGAACCTGGCATTTGGTCTTTGGGGTAAGATGAGAACCTGGACTATGGGAGAAGTAGGTACCTGGGGCCTGGTCTTTGGAAGATAAGGACCTGGCCTTTGGTGGGATGGGGCAGGTGGAAGGTAGGGGGAGATGGAGAATCTGGTCTTTGGGGAAGATTGGATTTTGGTCTCTCTAGGGATGGGAAGATGACCCAGCTGGAAGAACTGAGGTTCTGGTCTTTGAGGTATCAGGGCCTAAAGGGCCTTAACAAAATGCTTAAGTTGTGAGAGAATCTGGGAAAAATGAAATCCCTGGATCTGGGTGGGAACAATAGAGGAAAGTTTCATAGAGGAGGTGGAATCTCAGCCTTGTCGAGGAATACAAGGCTCTAATCTCCCTGGCCCCCATGACACAACAATTCCGTTGGTAAGGTGACCATTTTCCTCCGCCTCTGGCATCATCCCGAGCCTGAGGCCATTGCTTATACTAAAAAAGCAGCTGACATTTCTGGGGCACTTTCGAGAGTTACAGAGTACTTTACATGAATGACCTTTGATCACTGCCACAGCCCTGGGAGGAGGTACCAGAGATACTATTGGTTCTACTTTAATGATGAGGAAAACGAGGTTCTGAGAGGTTAAGTAAGGCCAGCCTGTGGTCATACAGCAACCCAGGGTAGAGATTCGATCCCAGTTTCCATCCTGACTCTAGGTCTTTCCACTGCACCACTATTTATGATTGTTAGCAAGGATGACTTGCAGTGGCCAGCGACAAGAAACATTTATTAAATGACTATTGTGTGCCAAGTCCTGTGCTTAGCACTGGAGGAAATATGTAATTTACACAATAAACAGTCCTTGCCCTTAAGTTTACTACGGGCGAAAGTTTAGATCTGTGGTGGATTTTCCATGTCATTCCAAGTCCTGGGCTAAAGTTGGCCCGAATCTAGAGTTACATGGAAGAGGACAACTTGAGGTATAGTAGGGTAGTGCCAGGAGGGCCTTTAATGCCAGGCAGAAGAGTCTAAATTTGACTCAGTGCAGTTGATTGAGAAGGCTGGAAATGCTCAGAATGGACACTTAGCCTCAAAGGGAGTCCGGGACAGAGAGGAAAAGGGCTGCCCAGGCTCCTGGGAACGGCTCCTTCCACCACTTCCTAGACCAAGAGTTGGCAAACTACAACCCCAGGGCTGAATCTTGGCATGTAAAAACCATTCTACAAAAATTGGAAGTGAGCTGGATTTGGCCCATGGGCCATAGCTTATCAATGCCAGGCCTGGGAAGTCTCAAATGGTCAGAGGCCCTCTAGTCCGGCTAGAACACAACCTGATAGAATGCCCTGATCGACTTGCTCAATAAGTAGTCATTCAGCCGCAGCCTGTAGTCCTCCCTGTGGGAGAGGGAAGCCACCACTTCCTGGTCCAGCCATAACTACTTTGAGATGTAGGAAGCCACCACTTCCTGGTCCAGCCATAACTACTTTGAGATGGAGGAAGCTCTAACCTGCATCACACCGAAGTTCTCCTCTTTGTGGTTTACCATGGCTCCTAGTTCTGTCCCTCGAAGCCCAGTACAACAGTTTCATCCCCCCTTCTTTGTGACAGTCCTCCAAATATCTTGTCAGCTCCCAAAGCCTCTTTTCCTGGCTACACATCCCCAATTCCTGCAACCCATCCTGAAAGGCATTAGAACTCAAGGCCATCTACCATTTTGTTCACCCTCCTCTGGCTGCCCTCCGACTAATCAATATCTATCCTAAAATGGAGTACTCAGAATGGATGAACAATACTCTGCGTGGCATCTGACCAGGGCAAAATACAGCAAGGACCTCCTTTGTCCTGGATACTATACTTCTTTTAATGATGACTGAGAGTAAATTAGTTTTCTGGGCCACCGTATAGCTCTATTGACATATCTTAAGCTTGCAGTCCACTAAGGCCATCACATTTTTTACAGACAAACTATTGTCTAGCTGTACCTCCTCAGTCTTGTACTTATAACATTGATTTTTAATAACAATAATAATAGCTCACATTTACATAGCACTTCAAGGTTTGAAAAACACTTTATAAATATTAACTAATTTTATCCTCAAAAAAACCCTGGGAGAGGTGCGCTATTATTCCCATTTTGCCGATGAGCAAACTGAGGCAGGCAGAGATTAAGCAACACGCTCAGGGTCACACAGCTAGTAAGTGTCTGAGGTAGAATTTGAACTCAGGTTTTCCTAATTCCATGTCCAGTGTTCTATTCACTGCACCACCCAACTAATTCACATTTTAAATTCAAGTGTAATACTATAGTCATCCATGTTATTAACATCTTATTAACTTCCATCTATTGTTCAGTCTATAGAGTTTTTTTGGGGGGGAGAACTATGTCACTGAATTTATTAGCTCATCCTCCTAACTATAAGTCATCTACAAAATGCTTTAGCCAGCTGTTGAGAGCTGATTGTTAAATTTTCCGTGTGAACATTTACGCCTCAGAAGTTGGCAAATGCTATAAATCAGGGTTTGATTTATTGTTTTGTTGGCTGTTTAGACTTAAGAAAGTGATGGAGAAAATGTTAAAAATGCAAATTAAACTTAAAAGTGTGTCATATATTTTTCTCCCCCCCCTCCAGAGAGCTAGTTGTTAAACATTTATCAGCACACCCTTGCATCTGTAACTTTTTTATTAATAAAAATGTTAAACAGCACAGAACCAAGCAAAGGCCCCTGTAGCACTTATCTAGAAATCACCTTCCTCGTTGTCATTGAACCATTCATGACTACTCCTTGATTCTTGTCATGCTGTCAGTTCTGAATCTACTGAATTAGACCACATCTTGTCTGCAAGAACAGCACAAGTCTTTGCCAAATGCTTTGCTAAAATCTAGGTCAACTATGTCTACAGCATGGGCCCCCCCCCTCCCCCAGCCCAACAGTCTAGTAACCTGTTTAAAAAAAAATGAAGTTAGTTTGACATGACCTATCCTTGAAGTCATGCTGGTTTTTTGTGATCATGACTTCCTTTTCTAGACATTTACTAACCACGCCTTTAACAATAAATTCTAAAATATTGTCAGGAACCAAAGTCACTAATCTATAGTTTGCAGTTCCTTTATTTGGCCATTTTTGGGGAAAATTTTGGGACATTTGCCCTTTTCCAATCCTGAAGCACCTCCCCAGTTCTCCATAAACTTTCAAAATTCACTGAATGACTCAGTAATTGACTCTACCTGGTCTTTCAATACTCAGCTAGGTTTGATGACTTGAACTTGTCAGGAGAAGCAAGGTGCTCTCCTTGCTATCTCCTGACTTATCTGAGGTATCACCTCCCCATTAATGACATTTTTTCTGTCCTTTCCTGTCTAAAGATCATTGTCTTTAGCAGAGAAACCAGAAGCAGATTAAAAGAAGCTACCCCTACATTCTCTCAATCATCCATAATCATCATTTCATCCTTCCTGTTCAGTGATCCTATCCTTTTTTGATAGAATCATATCAAAGACACCCTCTTTCTCTCCAGTATTTATTAAAAAAAAATGTTTAGATAAGCCTTATTTTTTTTTACCTGCTTCAGTTAATTCTGTGTTTTAGATTAGACATTATTTTTACAGGACTTCTTCATACTTTTATATTTGCCCTCTATTTACCTACCCTAGCTTCCATTTTCTCTTAATGTTCTTTAAAAATCTAAGTCAGTTGCTGATCTATGCATTAAAATGAGTCTCTTTAGATAACTGCCTTTTTTATCCTCATCAGAATCGTTTTCTTTGTGTCTTGTACATTCTGTTCTTAAGAGCTCCCCAGCCCTTTTGGGCTGACATCTCCAGTAGATTGTTAGGCTAATTTTTAGACTTCTCACAATAGCCTGTCATGGAGTTCCCAAGATACTGCAGAAACTCTGTCCACAAACTATTTGAGTGAGCATTCAAGGTCAGCAGCTAATCCTGATATCTAGCTTCAGGACTCACTCCCTTGCCCATCCCCACCCCCTAAGCCATTTCCATATTTCTCTGACCATCCTCCATCTGCTTAGGAAATAACAATGGTGAAGATATCCAGAATGCTTCACATGTGGGTAGCAGATGGAGAGCTGATTTTGAACCAGGAAGATCTGGGTGCAAATCTTGCCCTTGACACATACTGGCTACGTAAGCCCATGGGCAAGTCATTGAACCTCTCAGTATGTACTCTACCGTAATTCTTTAAGGCTGTAAATGGCAGAGAAAGTGCTGACTTGCATAAGTAGTGAGAATTTCTTTACTACCAGAGTGCCCTATGCCGATGAAATCACAGGGCCAGTCCCTATCTCTATTTTACATGTGTGAATGGCATTTTGGGGGTAACTGGGTGTCACAGAAGATAGAGAACTGGGCCTGGAGTCTGGAAGACCTGAGTTCAAATCCAGCCTCAGACACTTACTTGCTATATGACCCTGGGCAAGTTACTTAACTTTTGTTTGCCTTTTAAATTTTACTCTCCTCTCACAAAAACCCATGGTGTTGGTAAAAAAAAAAATAGTATGTAATCATCCCCATTTTACAGATAAGAAACTGAGACCTCCCACCAAGAGACTGAATAATTTATTTAAGGCCACACAGCCAAGCTTAAATTTCCTTATATTGGAAACAGTGCTGAACAGAGTTCCAATCTCAGTTCCAAAATGAATTTACTGGATTACTTTGGCAAAGTCACATCCCCAAGCTAGAGTCGAAATATCCTCATTTGCAAAATGAGAGGATTAGATTCGATGATCTCTGAGGTACCTTGCTCTTCTAAGCTATTTTCCAGCTTTGACAGCCTGGTCTGTCCACCTCTGACAATTCTATATCTCTGATTTCTAGAGCTGAGGCTCCCAGATGTCCTGGCTCCTGCTCTATCCATTGGACCACATGAGCTCTGTGCTCCCTTGTGGCAGGATGATGCTGGTCCTGAAACTCTTGGGGCTTTCTGTTAATCAATGTGACGCCTCCCAAGAAAAAAGATTCCTGAGCTATGGCAGGAAGGCCATTGGTGACCGTCAGCAGAGGGGATGCACTTCTGTGGCCAATGGCCTCAGAGGCAAGAATTTAATTATGACATATGAAAGGAAAGAGCTGTATTAGAAGGAAGAGGATTGAGGAGTGGAGCAGTCTTGGGTGGAGTAAAGGACAGATCTGGATTCTGTTCTTACTAGCTGTGTGACCTTGAGAAACTCTCTTCCCTTCCCTGAACCTCAGTTTTTTCATCTGCAAAAATGGATCAGGACAACTAGGACTTGGATTTTCTTAATGTGACTTTCTGCTATCCAAAAATCTCCTTTCCCTTTTTGTAAAAATAAAAGAACTGGGCAGCTAGGGGGCACAGTGGATAGAGCTCCAGCCTTGGAGTCAGGAGGACCTGAGTTCAAATCCAGCCTCAGACACTTGACACTTACACTTACTAGCTGTGTGACCTTGGGCAAGTCACTTAACCCCAATTGCCTCACCAAAAAAAAAAAAAACAAAAAAAAAGCAATGGATCACTTGAGGTCTCAATGCCTTAGACAATTCTCTAAGACTATAAATCATAGAATAGCTTCCGATCCATATTGGTAGATGAAATTATTTAATGAAATTATTGATCCGGTCCCCTCCTCTCTCCAAAAAAAAAAGTGGATCATAGATTTAGAGCTGGGTACCTTACAGGTCATCTCATCAACCCTCTCCTTTTATCCATGAGGAAACTGAGGCCCAGAGAAGGTACCTAGCTTGCTTAAGGTCACACAAGTAGTAGAGTAAGTCATAGTTAGGTCTGAAACCAGTTCCCTTGACTTCAAATCCATCCCTTCCTACTGGACCACACTGCCTTACTTCTCCTCCATGATAATACTTGAGCTACTGACTACTTCCGAGAGCTGTTTTAAGTAAAACATTTTGAAGACCTGAAAGTGCTATGGAAACACAGCTGTTCTTGTCTGGACAGGACAAGGATTTTATCCACATTTTACATATAAGGAAACCCAGACTTGGAAACAGTTATTGACTAGAAGCTATTATTCCCCTTTTACAGTTAAAAAAGTGGAGGCTGAAGGAGAGGAAGCAACCTACCCAGTATCATGTATGTACCCATTTGCAGCTGAGCCAGGACTCAGAGCTCAAGTCTTCTCGCTGCCAGCCTAATAATAATTAGAACAGCTCACCTTTCTATATCCAGACCTAGAATCTCAGAATATGTAATGTCAGGACTAGGAGGCGCCTTACGGTTTATAAAGCACTTTCCTCATAAAAATCTTGAGAGGTCACTCAAATATTAGACCCATTTTGCAGATAAGGAAACTGAAGGCCAGGGAAGTTACTTGGATTACCTGGACTCAGATTCTAACTTTGTTCTACTTATCCCCTGTTTGACCTTGGGGAAGTCACTGACCTTCTCCAGGCCTCAGTTTAGTCCTCATTGGACTTGGAGTCAGAACACATGAGTTGGAATCTTAGCTCTGCAACTTATTAGCTGTGTGATCTTAGACAAGTCACTTCACTTCATTTCTCCCTCTATCAAGTGAAAGGGTCCTTTCTAGCCCCTGATAGTCTGGTTCGTGTGGTGGACCTCTGAAGGGCTGTACCTGGGGCTCGTTTCTAAAGAAGCCCGGTGATAGGTTGGTGCAGAGAATGATCACCCTCAGGCCATGGGGGAGAAGGGAATCCATACTCAATCCTGCGATGTATCTGTTCTGCAGGTGATCGTGTGGGGCAACTATGGACGGATGGAACGCAAGCACTTCATGGGCGTGGCGAGGGTGCTTCTGGAGGAACTGGACTTGACCACCCTGGCCGTGGGTTGGTACAAGCTCTTCCCCACATCATCCATGGTGGACCCTGCCACTGGCCCGCTACTGCGCCAATCCTCTCAGCTGTCCCTGGAGAGCACCGTGGGGCCCTGTGGGGAGCGCTCGTAGTGGCTGAACTTGGGGAGGGGTTGCCCAGAGACTATGCCTGGATCTGGAACTCCTGGCACTTCCGATGAAAGCAGACAGGGCTCCCTCCCAAGGAGGAGAGGCCTACTCTGTGGGCTCCTCCCCATCCCCTGTTTGGCCCCCTTCCCCATCCTGAGGGCTTCCCTCTCCTAGAGCAATTGGCTTTACCTTTGACTCGGTCATTCCAGGCCCCCCAGGTTTGGGAGGGGGCCTATTGTTCAACCTCTCCCTTTTTTGTGTCCTCCTGGGAGCTAGTTGCCTGGAGCTGTCTCCACTATCCTAGGCCAGGGGCCTGCCTTCCCCATAGTGCCGATCTACCAGCAAGTGTCTTTCTTGTGGCACTTGGCTCCAGCGGCTGTATACTCTGCCCGCAGCCAGTTTGAGAGGAGCCCAGGGAGTTTCCAAGGAGGATGGTGGAGCCAGCCATTAGTCAAGGCCATCTGCATCCCAGAGAGGCCCCAGAACATCAAGGCAGCCTGGAGAGGCTGCCCATTGGTCATCAGGGGCTCACCTCCTCTTGACAAAGTACCTCCTTCTAGGCATGTGTCCTCCTCGGCTGCCACACATTGTTGGCACAGCTCTTTGGATGTCAGGCCTAACCCATGATGACTCAGGATGCAGATGGTGCCTCCTTTCTACAAGGAAGAGATATCTCACCTGGGAGCTAGGAGGCAAGGGTCTCAGTCCTGACTTAGCCACTCATTAGCTCTGTGCAACCCTAACAAATCACCTCCCTTCTTCGGATCTGTTTCCTCCTTTAAAAATGAGGGGTTTAGACTAGATGATCTCAAAGACATTCCATTGTAGGAATCGAGGATGCCTTTATTTAGTGCCCATAAGGGGCTGCTGCCTCCCGGCCCCTCACCTCCAGATCCTGGGGATGCTTGTCTCAGCAGCTCAGAGGCAGCGGGATGCAACTGAGACTCTAAGGGAACTCTATCTCCCCACTCTGCCCGTGGCAGTGGACAGGTAAAGCTAGGTTGAACTTGCTAGATTCCCTAAGGTCTCTCAGCCTGTGTTGCAGCAAGCCTTGCCAGTCCCCAGATGGGCCTGAGTGGGCTTAGCCAGGATGGCAAGGAAGGCAGAATTGGGAGAAGCTAGGGGCTGAAGTGTGGCCCAGGCATTCCACGCCAGTCATGGACCCCATGCCAGAGACCTGGGACAATCTGTTAGAAGAACCCCTCTCTGATGCCCTTGGACTCCATGGGTCATCTAGTCCAGCCTGTTGCCTCTGGGCAGATGGTAATCTACCCTTTTCTTCGGGGTCTCTAGGGCCAGAGAACCTCGGTTTTACTTTTTAAAAAAACACACAAAACAACATCTGAAGCAGGTGAACTGAATGCAAAAGAGTCATTTTATGTGGACTCCAGGAAAGCAAATAGAATGGATGGGAGAAAAAGAGAAAGGGTCAAACTATTGAGTGTTTCCTTCTCTCTCTCTCTCCCTTTCCCTTTTCCCTTCCTTCCCCCTATCTCCAGCTGCATGTTGGTTTGACTCTGCGTCCTGGGGCTCCCAGCTCCAGGTCTGGCTCACTGGCCTGATCTCTGACCCTAGCCATGGGGTAATTTCAGGCAAACTGTTGCATGCTGGGTAGGAACTCTCTTTAACGAAGCACATTCCTGCCTCCTCCTGCAGAGAGGAGACCCTCCTCTTCCCTTCTCTCCCCAGCACCACCTCAGTGCTGAGGCTGGTCTCTCCTTACCTCCCCCATCCCCAGCATGGAGGGAGTAGTCTAGAGCAGAGTTTTTCCCTAAACCTCTCATATTTACAAAGTCCAAGAGGGGGAACATAAAATCCATCCTAGTTGTGTGTATGCATGGAGAGTGGAGACTGATAGGCCAAATAGGCCTGACAGGGAAAGGTTAGACGGAATTCTCTGTCTGACCTTCTTCTTTTCTCCCTAAGGGCCCCAGAGGCAGCCGGCCTGTCTTTTCCTCCAGAACTGTGAGGAGTGAAAGGGGTCTGGGGAGGTGTTGAGAAAATCCAGCTAGTTCCATGGGCTCTGGGTGTGGCTGCTGGGGCTGGTCCCTTGGGGGTTTTTTTGGGGGGAGTGGGAGTTACCCTTCTGACTTCTTCCCCCTCTCCCACCCAGCAAAGAGGCTTTAGCTGGGGGCACAGAATTACACAGTATTCTTTATTCTTGTTGATAATCTTCTTATGATTACACATTTACAAAGCCCTCCTGGGCCACTGGGCTGTGTTTGGGCCCTGGTGCCTGGCCAAGGACAGACCAGTGCACTCAGGACATGGGTTCCAAACCAAGTTTTTTTGGGGAGTAGGGTGGAAAGTTCAAGAAATCCTTTTAAATTGGACTAGGGGGAAGCAATGGAGGCAACTCATTCTATTGAGCCTCAGTTTCCTCTTCTGTAAAATGCAGGAGTTGATCTGGATGGTCTCTAAGTTCCCTCCCACTAAATCTCAGATCTTGTGGCTCTCCCTGGTCTATCAGGTTAGGGATGCTACTGTAGTTGGAGTATGAAGGGAAAGCCAGCCCTAGGCTATGAGGCCTTAGGCATGAGGTTTGAGTATAAAGCCCCATTCTCTTAATACCAAAGCCAGTGAGCTGGGCTTCCCAAACCCTGTGCTCTAAGGGTTTCTGGCTTCTCCTGGTTCAGCCCTCTAACTAGATTGGGGAAGGTAAGAGGAGGGAGAGGTAAGAGACTTTTCCGGTCCTGGGCCTTTAGGAACAGAGATGGAAGGGGGCTGTCTAGCCTGGGGCCTTGGGGAAGGGGTTGTCAGCACTTCCCCCGGGGCAGCTTTTGAGATGGGAATGTCATTGCAGATGCCTTCTTGGGAGAGAGAGGCAAGGTCAGGAGAGGGTTGGGTGCAGTAGGAATCTGAGATTCTTGTGAAAAAAAGACTTCTTTCTCATTTGTTTATTACTCACTGTTAATAGCTGATACCCCCTCATCCTGGGCTGGAGGTGACCCTGGGGTCTTAAAGGTTTTGCTGGATGACTGGCCCTAGCAAGTAGGGCTTCAAGGCCAGACCAAAGACCTGGGAACAGAATGCATCTGTGGTCTCAGGACTGGCCTAGCCACAGGGAGAAGTTTCAGACAACAGCAATTCTCAAAGACACAGCTGTAAAGGGAGGCTGTGTGCTTTAGTCCCTTGCGGGAGCAGAATAATCATTGACCCCTAATACATTGAAATAACAACTATTGGAACCAGGAGACTTCTGTTGGAACCATGTGTTCCATGTACAGATTGTGGCCATTTTTTCTAAGGAAGAGAAAAGCCTCTTGGGGCTGCCAGCAGGAAAGGTGTCCTGAGGCTGCCATGGGGCCAAGCCCTTCACTGGAGCCCCAGGTATTCTCCCACCCGCAGTCTGAGAAGGGGGCAGAGGCAGAGGAGACCTGTGTGAAGGGGATTACTGGGGGGTAGTGAGGTGGTCTCCTCACTTTCCCCTCCAGACCTTGGTGTAGGTGAAGAGGACTTGGCTAATTTCTCCTCCCTCCTGTCTCCTACAAAGGCCTGTTTTGTGAAAGAGACTGGGTATGAAGCAATAATCCATCCAGAGGTGGGGTGGGGGCCGTGGCCTCAGGACCCCCTCCTCCCGCTGCTTTTCTTGTTCCTTCTGTGAAATAACTGGCCTCCTGGTGGGGTCTTGAGTCCTTATCTCCTGTCCCCCCATTCCCACTATTAATGGTCCATTCCTGTCAGTATGTCCTGAGTGTGTTCTGTGCTGGGGTATATGTAGGGGTGGGGTGGGGTAGTAAACTTTTTGTTAAACTGCAGCTTTGGGAGAGACTGTATGAACTTGGCTCCTACTTGGGACCCAAGGAGGTTCTGGCTGCCACCCACCTGTCATGTCCTGTCTGTCTATCCTTTTGATGCTTGGCAGTAGGAAGAGACTGGTCCCCTAGGGTGGGATGAACTCTGTCCCCACAAAGCTGGGCAGACTTCTCCCAGTTGTCTGGGCCAGGCCCCAAGTGGGGAATAAATAGAATGTGGCTTCTCTACATTAAAGAGAATAATACTAGTAATAATAATAACTAATAATAATAGTTGACATTTCTATAGCACTTTCTAATTTACAAAGCGCTTTACATCCATTATCTCATCTGATATTCATAACCCTGTGAGGTAGGTAGTGCAAGTAATATGATCCCAGTTTTATGGATGAGAGAACTGAGACTCAGAAAGACGACATGAGAAATCAGGTCACCAGTACTAAGTGGTAGAGCAGAGTTGACACTTTTTGAGTTTAGCAAGGAGGCCAAGTCAGAGACCCTGGGTGTGATGATGTCTCCAGGTCTTTCCCCACCCCCCCTTAATCTGCAGACCTGCCAGGGCCCCCAGGAAGCCAGACCAGGAGTTACTTGAGCTCCACCTTGTCTCCTAGGGTTGCTGATGGGTTTTCCCGAGGTGGAGATTGGGATCTCTGGCCAGAAGGAATCAAGTATGAGAATCTTCTCAGGCTAAAGAGAGAACACCAATTGGAACTACTCATTTGGAGTGAGCTCCTATGCCTAGGAGTTACCTCCAAATAAGCCTGCAGAGGACAGGAGAAGGTACCTTCAGTTGGGTCTGGAAATACTAAACTTTCCTCACATTTGTACAGCACTTTAAACTTTTCAAAGCAGTTTCCCATTTATTCTCATGTGATCCTTAACCTTACGTTAGGAATTATCTCCATTTTTACAAAGAGGGAAACTGATTCCCAGAGAGATTAAAGCAAATCAATGTTATATAAGCAAGTCAGTGTCAGAGCCAGGACCAGGACGAGGGTCTTATGCATCATACACATTGAGGGTCTTATGCATCATACACATTGAGCGATGCTCTGTTGAGTGGAGGCCTGGGGGAAGCATCCAAGCATAGGCAATAAGGATTTCTGCATATTAAAGGCCAGGCCAAAGCAGCTACCCCCCAAGCCATGCTGTTACAATTCATAGTTGGAATTTGGATTTAGTCAGAAAACCTATAGGTCCTCTAAGGACCCTTAAAGCTCTAGGTCCATGACCCTGTGTGACCTGGGTTTGAATATCAGCTGTGTTTCTTATTACCTATATGACCTTGGGCA